AACGAGGTCACCACTATTCTTTATATGATGCCTTCGCTACAGGCAATAATGACTGAATCCTCACAGCATCCCTGAGCAGGAGAGAAAGAAGAGGTTGGCCTTCTTTCTCTGCACTTACAGATGGAGAAACCAAGGCACCGAGAGGTGAAGTGAGTTATCCATGATCACAGTGGGGACCCTGAATCAGCCCATGATATTTCCTGATCTTTCTGAGTCTAAAGGAGAGCTTCTAGGAGGTCTACAGCTAAAACAAATCTCCTAACCCCACTCTAGCTGGAGGACCCCAGAGCTATGTTGAGGATGGAGAAACAAACCAAAGGAGGTCATCTACTAGGTAGGGAGTTGTCTGTATCCACCATGACATAAGGACAAAGGCTGCTTCTGGAGGGACCTTCATTGGTTTACCCATTGACACTATACCCATGGGAAATTACTACTTTGTCCTCCTTGGTTTGAGGATGAATTTTAGTAGTAGTCCTTCCTGGACAAGCGTGGATGAGCTGACTGACTTCGGTTTCTAGCGTGGGGTCTTGTGATTCGTGTTAGGGATTGGCAAGGACAGGCATCTCCTACCGGGGCTTGCATATTGTTCTGCACGGGATGGGGCAGGGCAGGGCAGTGCCCCTTAGGTCCTGCCCGCTCATTTCCTATTTGGTCTATTCTTAGCCCTTGACACAAGGTGTTGGCTGTGTGCAGGGGGAACTCCTACGGTTGTCCGTCTGCTGCCCTCAGGAGCTGCCATTAATAGCATTCCCGACCTTTGGCTCCGGTACATACCAGCCATGTCCTGCCAGCCACTGCAAGGAAAGGTACAGGGAGCAAGAAGGCACAGCTCCTTCCCAGGAGGAGGAGAAGAAGCAGATGGTGCCCGGGAGAGTCAAGTAAGGCAGACAGAGCCAGACGGGCAGAAAAATAAAGCCGCAGGCAGAGCAAGGCAGTGCCCTTGTCTTTTGATATTTGGCCAATAGCACAAGATGTAGTGTTTTAAGCAAGAAATGAAATCTTTAAAATAGCTAAGAATGAGTGAGAAAGAGGCTTATGGTGCCATTACAGGAATTTACATTAAACATCATCTTTTTCTGCAACGAGGGTCTTTGAAAAAAATCTCTGAAAGGGTGGAGTTGCCTTTTTACAAGGTTGAAACTGGGACAGGCACACATCGATTTGGGATGTTCTGGGGGCAGTCCTCTTACAAGCTTGTGGTTTTGTGTCCTGTGACAGCCTGACCACTGCAATTTGCATGTCCAGGAGCTGGGCTGTGGGTGGGAATGGGAGGATATATAATTTAAACATAAGAATGTAAATTCACTGCCCATAGGACACCTGTGTGTGCTTCATAAGGAGGGCCCTGATGGAATCCAGTCATCCAGCAATGTTTGGGAATGAAATGACCAGAGCTACTGCCTCCAAGGCTGGCCAGCCACTGGGGATGAGTCCACACCGCTGTGTCCTTCCCTTTGACACGTGCAGGGTCTTTTCCAGGTCTTCCTGGAGCTCTGCAAGATTTTCCTGGCAGTTTTCCAGTCTACGCTGGGAATATCACTTAAATCTGAGTGAAATTAATTGCAGTGGGCTCTCTTCTCTTCACAGTCTCCAAATTTAAGTCCCCTCCCCTAACCAAATCTGGTAGTGTTACTTTAGTACTTTTCAGTTTGGCAAAGAAATAACAGCTTTTAGCTTTTTGATAAGAAAATCAAGTGAGTGTACACAAGGAGTGTCCCCTTTATTAAGGCTGCCACCCAGAGCTGCTGTCCTCACTCACAAGAGGCTCACTCTGAGTAAGGAGCCATCCTGTGTGCCAAACAAATGCTCGGGGTGACCCAGCCCACCCCATTTGAAAGCGCCAGAGGCAGCAGGGCGTGTACGTTGTGTGCAGAATACGCCCCGACCCCATTCTCTTTTAGGATCCTACACCCTTTCCTCCAGCCCAAAGGCTCTGAGCCTGCACACTGCTGTCTTCTTCTTACATCTGTTCCTAGGTAGTGGAGAGAGACAATTTTGCTATGGTTTGGGGGCATCAAGGCTTGGGAGTCCTTATGGCTCCCTCCACCCTCAGGAGCAAAGAGCAGGACAGGGAAAGGGGAAGTCGGCTTCCTGTCAGTATAAACACTGCCAGGGGAGTTTCCGTGTACACAAAGGGATAAGGCTATGCGCATCTCCAAACGAGATCGGCATCAGCAACCTCTTCTTCTGCTCCATGACAGGGTGTGGGAAGGAGGGGCACAAGCAAAGGGAGAATGGAGAAAATGATGTCATTGGCACTTTTTTTAAAAAGCTTTACATTCTTCTCTCTGAGAATAAGGCTTCTGTTGGGACAAAGAATGATGTCCTTGGCATGAGATGCCACACAGCCAACAGAATCACCCTCATGACCACGGTCCAGACAAGTATTTGTATTCTTTTAAACCCCCTTGGGACTCAGGGGGGCCACGGCTATTGAGGGTCTGGGGTAGGCCACGAGGACCATAGATATTGGGGAATTTGTGCCTAGGGAGATAGCGTGTGGGGGATCTGGCAGAGGCGGAGGAGCCCCTGGGGCCACACGGGAGTGTCGTCTTCCTTGACTGAAAAGGGACATGTCGGCAGCATGTGCCATCAAGAGAGCTGGGGCCTTCCCCATGGACCCCCAGTTCCCAATTTGTTTGGAGAAGTCTGACTCTACGGAGCAAGGTGAACCTCTGGAGACAGAGTGGAGGAGTATGTTTGAGATTTGAGAAACTTTAGGGGTAAGGAAGGTCAGTGGGGGCTCATCTGATGAATTTAAATCCTCTTAGCTCCCTTTATGGTGGCCTTAAGAGACATGACACTCCCATTTGGGATGTCACAGGCTTGTGAAAATGAGCTCAGAAGACATCACCCCGATGTTTCTGAGGAGACTGAGGTTTCCTCTCACGCAGAGGCCCAGAGAGATGTGGATCTACTGAGCAATCGGGAAACAGAGCTTGCAGAAGTGATGTTAACAGAATCAGCCAGATTTTAGCGATACTATTTATTTCGGAGAACGAGAAGAAGAGCCACATTTTCTCCGGGGGTTTGTGGGCATATTTGATGGGGGGTGGCAATCAGGAAAGGAAGGGGGATGACTTCCTATTTTATTCTATAGCTCCTGGTACAATGTGCTTATCTCCCACTGGAACTAAATACTGAGAGTTAATTAGTTTTCACCAGGAGTTCCTGGGCAAGAAGTGGGCCCAAAGATTGATTTTAAAAAATCACAGGCGTTCTGAGGAGCAGCTGGGGCAGCATGCACTGACGCCTCATCACCCATAAGGGGTTTGTCAGGGATTCAGGCAGATGACAGACTAAAAGCAGATTTGCAGTGAGGATGGGGCCACCACTTCTCACTGGGGGCACAGAGTGACCCGGTCACAGAGCTGCCTGAGGGATCTGGGTTTTCAGGACCAAAGTCTTCTCGGTGGGGACTCAGAGCACTGAGAATGTGTGGACTCCCACGGTGATGCCCAGGTCAGCCCCCTGAAGGGGAGGCTTACTGGTTGGGGAGAGAAGACCATGGGGGAGGCGACAGTCGGGACTAGCAGAGAGATTGGAAACGTGGGGAGCCGCGCAGGCTGATGATACTGAGAAGACAGGGGAAAACTCCTGTCTGGTCATTGTCTTCATGTCTCCCTCCCTCCTGTGTTCTATACTCCTTTCCTGACTTTTCTTTTCCTCTCTGCAAAACTGGATTTTCCTGCTGCTGCTCACAGATGCGTATTTGCATTTCATTCTTAGGAAAGGAATGATGGCATGATGGAGGGGGCGAGAAAAACATGGCCCAGGAGAAGCGTGCCCTCCTGTCTGAGTCTTGTGGAGCCCAGTCCAACAGAGGTTGAAAGAAAGGATTTCAGAAATGTCCTGTGATCTTCTCATCTGTTCCCAGTGGCTAAGGCCCAAGAGGGCCCTCCCTGAGTTGTAAGTTGTCACCCCAACTTTTGGCACTCCAGGTCAATGACTGTCAGCAGTTTTCTCAGTTGCATGTAAACACAAGCACACACACGCACACATGCACGCATGCGCTGGACGTGGAGCAGTAAAACAGAGGCGGCAAACTAAAGCCTATGACTGTGCCAAAATGAAAAAGAAAGGGAATAAATCCAAGAACAGACGAAGAAGCCAAAGTGGCAGAGGTCCTGAAAGGATGTATGGGGGACAGCATCCAGGACTGCTCTAGTGACTGACATCTGCAGGGTTCCAGGCACAGAGTCCCAGGGCTGAGGCAGACAAGAGCTGGGACCCCAGTGAGCCAGGGGAGATGGTCCCTCTCAAATGGCCTCACCTCTTCCAGCCTCAGCAGAGTAAGCAGCGAGCTAAGCCCTCGGCGGGGGAGGCAGAAAAAGAAAAGCACCTCTGACCAGATTGGAACTCCCAATTAACTCCTGAGCGGCCGGTGGGCCTGTCCCTTGGGTGGGTGGAGACAGGTCTGCATGGCTGGTCTTCACCAAGGCCTGGGTGTGCTCTGTGCATCGTGCTTCCTAGATGGATGGGCACCGGGGCCACAGGCTCTCTGCGCCTCTCCTCCCGCCCCTCCTTCCCACCAGGGAGGACCCTAGGGGACAACCGAATCATGGAGGGGACGGGACGGCACTGCAAAGTTTAGTGATAATAAAGGAAATCAAAGGGATCTGAACACAGAAAGGAGCATCCAGTTTTACAACTGAACTGAAATTTAAAACTTGGTTCTTTTTTTTTTTTTTGACAGATTTAGAAAAACAATAAAGGGGGTAGGAAGGAGAAGCCTCTTTGAATAATAATATTTTTTTAAAAAAAACCCACAAACATAAAAAATTCCTCAGTTTTTGAACTTCTCTTAAGAATAGTTCAATGTGAGGTCTTGCACCCTAAACAGTTATATCTGGAATTAAAAAACAAAATTGTAGCTACACACAACAAAGACTAACAGTATTTACTTAAAAATATTTGTGTGTGTGTGTATATATATATATTTATATATATATCTTTTTCGTGGAAATTTTTTCTTTTTGTAATTTTTTTTCTTTTCCTTTTTTTTTTTTTTTTTTTGTTTTTGTGCCCAAGTAGAGATACAATGGGATTGAAACGATGCCTTAGAACAGAATATTTCTTACAGGAGCAATACTTTAAAAAATAACATTTAAAAAATGGTTGAACATACTTGCAACACCTCCAGAAATTCAACTTGGTACAATGAGAAAATCAATAATTGAATCAAATCTTCACCCCAATGACACGTCCTCTAAGACCCAGAGTATGCTGCTGGTGTGAATCTCCCCATGCAGACAGGGGCTCAGAATCAAGCACCACCCCCTCCTCCTGGCGTTCCCCTCCCTGGCCCCCTTACACTCCACCTCAGACATACCCGGAGTCCGTCTTATATCGGTTTTCTACATTTCTGGCAAGACCTTGCAGCAGACACACACATACACACACACATATATACGTGTGCTGTGGGCACACATACACATACACACACACACACACACACAACACACACAAAATTTCCCACTCAATCCAGATGCACCAAGTGAGCTGAATGACTTTCAGCCAATCACAATGGTGAAAGACAGAAGCACCAAACAGTCTTTGAAATGGGTCAGTTATTACAATTTGACTTTTTTTTATATTCTAATTTTCCTCTTTGTGTTAATATTTTTAAAAAGCACAAATGAAAAATGAAGAATTCTTTCCAGATCAATTTAAGGCTTCCCACCAAATGGAAACAGAAGAGGCCTTACACAATATCACATGTAATAAATGGATACCTTTCATGGCCTTAAAATGACAGAACGAATCATTGTCGCCAGTCACTGATTAAGTATTGTGCCTTTAAATTGATGTCATTCTTTTTGCTACTATGCTGAGTTTTATTATTACTGATTCTCTTTGATTACATATGTGGAAATCTCCATTAATTTGCTTTAGAATTTCCTGTTCTTATCGAATTATTGGGGTGGCTTTTTCCTTTGTTCTGTTTTGCTTTTCACCAGGAAACAAATGTGATTCTTACTAGGTGAAGGCTAAAATGGCACAGAGCCAGCCTTCAAGGAGCTTTTCCAGACATTTGAGTTTCAAAGGGCAGGTTGGCTCCTCGAAGGCGCTAGTAAGTTGGGGCGGGGACAGGAGAGGAGGGAGAGAAATCAAAAAGAGGGAGGGTTTTCTATGCCTTTGCTTTTGGTAAATTTGTTTTTTTCAATGCAAATAATCAGATAGGAAGAATGATTGCTTTGTGTTTTCTTTGTTGTTTGGTTTTTGTTTCGTTTCTAGATTTGTTTCATTTGATTGTTTAATTTTCCCTCTCCGGGTGCAAAGTCGCCGGAGAGTTTTGCATGAGCAAACGTGACAGTACGTAATGAAACTCAGCACCTAAGGGCATAAGGCAGTTGAAGGTTTTTTTGTTTGTTAGTTTGTGTTTGTTTTGTTTTGTTTTGTTCTTTCAATCAGCACCAATCCCGGAAATGATCTACACTTGGTGTAAGGTATAAAACTTATTTTTTCTTTTGGAGTGGAGACGACTCCTCCTTCTCCACCTTATGAACCATAGTGTGGGATTTTTCAATACTGTTTCTTATGTGTAAAAAACAAAAGAAAGGTTTCCTTTTTGTTTTTACTTACAAAACATAGAGAATATCTTTGTATACATACAGCGACTGGAAAGAAAGCTTATCTGAAGGGGTTGTGACTTATTATTTTCTTTTTTTGTAGCATTGGTGGTGGTGGTGGTGGTGGTGGTGGTGGTGGTCATGGTTCTGTGTATTGGGGGAAGGGAGGGTTATATTTCTTGCAAGCGGTGTTTACCGCAAACCAAACTTAAGGTCTCCTCAACTTGGGTCAGGATGCTCTTAGAGTGAAGACTCATACTGTAGCAACTCATAAAGGAGTGGTCCATCTCGATACCGAATGCCTACTGCAGTGGGGGTGACATACTGCAGAATGTTAATAGTCCTTCTCAACCTCCTGTCTACAAAATGAGCATCCCAAGCTGGGTATCTTTTTCTTGGCATGTCAATCTTAATGAGGGGCCCTTCTGGGGGGTAAGGACGCCCCAACGGGGTAGGGGGCATGGGTCTCACTTGGAAAACGGGCAAGCAAGTGTCAGCCGTGAGATCCTCCTGTTGTTCCGTTACGGCTCTGGTAGGCGTGACCTGAGTCCCCCGGTACCCAGGAGCCTGAGGTGCCATGGGCTCAACATCAGGGGGCAAAGGGATGCCCCAGAGCAGCTCGGCACAACAGGAGCTGGCAAAGATCTTAGCTCGAGGCCCCGTGGGATGCAGCACACCATAATATAAGAGCATCAGTGCGATCCCAGCCACAAAGCTAATAAAGACACAACACAGTGCTGGCACCGCATAGGAGTCAGTGGTCTCCGGGTCTCTGTAAAAATACCAAAGGAACGTCAAGGCAGCATTCTCGGTCAAGACTATCGTATAATATGCAAACATTCGATATCGAGTCCGCCCTTCCTTGACGTTAAACCAGCAGAAAATGTACACAATCCCTACCACCATGTTGAAGAGGATCTCTTCCCACTTGGACATGCAGAAGTCTGTTCCACCATGGATGATCCAGAAGGCCATGGCGCACCAGTGAACCACCACAAAGATCCCGAAGTAGAGCTGGAAGATGGAAGCAAAGAGGGCAAAAGAGATCACTCTGGATGAGATGGTGAAGAGGCGCCAGAAGATTTGGATGAGGGCCCCTCTGTAGCTCATACTCTTCTTGTCGTCCCTGGAGTCCCGCAGCAGCTTGTGATAGGAGGCTAGCACCCAAGCCAGGGACATCAGGGAAGTCACAGAGGAGACACCTGCCGGAAAGACACAAACCCACACAGTCAAAACCTGGGTCCTCAACTGCGGGGCACAGCAGGGCTGCCAGCTGAGGAGACGCCCACACATACTGCGATCTAAAGGAGGAGGGAGAAAGAAACACAGAATCAGGAACTGAACCGAGAGGTCACAGCTGCTCCCTAAGCTGACAGCTTTTGAAATCTAGTTTCCGTCTCAACAACCCAGCCCAGAGCTTCTGGAGATCCACCACTTAAGAGTACACAGCTGAGGCTGACGTGCTTTGCCAAGGGGGTTGAGAACTGGGGCCACTGTGGTAGTTCATTACATCTGCTATGGGCGGGACCACGTGTGTTCTATTTTAAGGAAGCACGAGCTCACAAGGAGCCTTCTTGCATGCAGACGTGCGGCCAGAGTTGGTGTCCCTGTGATCAGCAGCCTGTGCTCTCAGAGAAGCCCACAGAAGGATCACCAATCTTGAAGACGGACAGCTTACTCACTGCCCCACGTTCAACAACTGTTCTCCTTTGAGAAGGCCCTGGAGTCACTCTTTTACCTTTTCATCAGCTCACTTAAGGCCCCAGGGAGCCCTTAACTGAACCTTCTTCCATTTAGCTTCTCCTCCATCCACTCTCTAAGGCCACCCTGATCAAGGACCCTGGGATATCCTGTTTGTCTCTCCGGCTACCTTTCTTGCTCATTCTTGTCTCTCTTGGCCTCCCCACAATCCCTGTTGCTTTCTCCAATCAACCACTGCTCAAAGTTCTCTGAGGCCTTGACTTGTGAGCCCCTGTCCTTCTCTGGTTTCCATCCTGACCCAGCAGTGCTGTAACTCATGGTTTGGGGAAGCCCTTTCCTCTCACCGGCGTGGTGAGGTTCCCAAAGCCTTTGCACACTGCTCCCTGTGTTTCTCCTCAACGGGTGAGTGAATGCATCTGATCCTAAGTGATACCTGAATTGCTGGAGAGCAATTTTATTTTTAACGCTGCCTATTTGATATTTGTAAAGTAAATCAAACTAAACACAAGAAATACTTATTGGAATCTCTCCAGATCCGTCCATGAGCAAGCAATCATTAGTCAGGTATTGTCACACAGTCTTCTCTCAAGCAAGACTCCCCATCGCCCCTTGACTCCCCCACACATTATGCCCACGCAGTCCATCTAGCGCTTCTTTTGTTTTTCCTTTCTCCCAAAATTTCAGAACTAAATGCAACTACATTCAGTCAGAGTCCCAAACACTGTCCCACTGGCAGCCATCTCCTTACCAGATTCCCTACCCTCACACCAGGGCACAAACCCCAACAACACGGTTCCAGGCTAAAGTCAGTCACCTGGTCGTTCTCCCTCTTAAGCCCAGAGGTCAGGTCCAAGAGCTCCATTCATCAGGCGACTGATTAAACTGCCCCAGAGCTCCAGCCTTCTGTCTGTCTTCCCCAGGCCCCTGGTCACCTCTCCACTTCTCCCCAATCCTGAATGAAGAATCGAAGTCCTCATTTGAATCAGAAAACAAGAATTAAAGAATCAAAGTCATTTCATACCCTCCCCGGCCTTGCCCTTCCTCACCCATCTCACATAGCCCCTCCCTTCCAACATTTCAAGGAGATGCTCAGCTTTGCAGCTTGCAGAACATTATAGTGTGATAACAAAACCCAGTATGTTTGCATTAGCACAGAAAAACCCTGGATGGGGAAGTGTTACAATAAGTATGTGTCACTTTTGTGATTGTAACAACCAAGATTGAAAACAAACAGGAGAAAAAAAAAATCCCAATTTCTCCACAGAAGCCAATCTTGAAAACACCTAATGATTTTCCTCTCACTCTTCTGGAAAGTTCTGAACACAGTTCTTAGTGTCCCACTTTGCCCTTTGTATACACAGGGCATTTTCACCAGCATCTGCCGAGGCCATCCTGCTCTGCGGCCATTTTACAGTGGCTATGTTAACCTTCTAGAGCCTCGTGTGTTTGTGCTTCTGTGGGGTTGTGGCAGGGAGGGTAATGGGTCCCCTTAGGAGTCGCATGATTTAGGCTGTAGGTTTCCGGAGGGCAAGGAATGTGCAGTCATCTTGATAGTCTGTATCAGGCTTATTACCAACACTGGAGCATCCTCAGAAAGTTCCTTTTAAACATCTTTGTGACATCACTCCTCTCCTGGTGAACTCATTTCTTGATTTTAATAGTGATACATCTTGGAGGTACCACCAACCCTTGGTAATCAGAGGGGAGGGCCAGCCCTTGTGGCCTAGTGGTTAAGTGTGGCGGGTGCTGCTTTGGCAGCCTGGGTTTGGTTCCTGGGCAGGAACCTACACTACTCATCTGTTAGTGGCCATGCTGTGGTGGTGGCTCACATACAAAAAGAGGAATATTGGCAAAAGATGCTAGCTCAGGGTCAATGTTCCTCAACAAAAAACAAAAACAAAAAAAAATCAGAGGGGAGTTCTACAGAAGCTAAATGGGAAGAAGTTGATTTTTTGTTCCTTCTAATAAAGGAAAATGTATTACTTCCCCTGCCTTTGGAAAAGCATGAGTGCCAAACTCATGAAATAAGAAAAAGCAACTTAGCTTTTGGCAGAGCACGGTCTGATTCAGCCTAATTCTGAGTCTGCTTTTGAGCGGACCTAGGGTGCAGAGCAGGACACCTGAGGAGCCTTCACTACCCTGGTTTCATTGTTCTGCGTGCTGTGACATTAGCCCCGTCCATAGCAAATATGAATAAAGGGGAATTCTATGTCCATCGATCGCATGTGGCAAAGCCAGATACGATTCTTCTTCATTACTCGATCTTCTGAGTCACCTATGCCACTTTCAGATCTGTCCCTGTGGTTTTGAGGGCTGGTGTCCTTTTCCTGCCTCACTCTTCATGAGGTGCTGCAGAAACAACTCCCCTCTGAGCCGACCCATACACTGCCTTGGTTCTTGGTCAGTGCTTCTGGAATTTCTCTCTAGGATATGGCACAAATACTCTCCAAATATCATAGGACACCACTGCTGCATTATAAGGAGGGCTGGGGAGATGGTCACGTGGAAGACTGAGATCTGAGCCCTCAGCTGGGGGATCTGCTGATGCCCAGCCCCAGTCTTACCTCTCTGCCTCATCTGTTTCCGAATTGGTAAAGTTATAGATCGCCAAATGTTATATCCATGGGAGGTTCACAGACCATCCACTTCAACCCCCTCATTCAACAGGAAACAGAGGTACAGGGGTCTGGGTGCCTTGCCCTAGATTACCTGGACAACCACCGACAATCAGAACTAGGCCCACAGTACAGCTCTCTGCCTGCCTTCTCACGCTGGTCCTGCTCTCCCTTCTTTCTCCATCTTGTCCCTTGGTCAGCTAGGCTCTCCAGAGGCCCACCCAGTAGCACCTTTCCCCAAGGTCATTTGTAATGAAGGCTGATAGCCTTCTCTAATGCTGGGTGCCTATTGTAGCACCAAGCTGTTGGTCCCTCAGGGCCTTGAATGTCAGGCCACTTCCTTGGCATTGTGAAAATGCTCCAAGTTTAAGGAAGAAGGGAAAGAGGAAACTTCTGAGATCCAGCTCATGTGCAGGGTGCTCAGGGCAGAGGCCTGCCCTGGGCCAGAGTGTGTCTGCTTGGGGCCGCCCTTCTCTTCGGAGCCTAAGCAAGGTGAGCAGGGACAGGGAGCAGCGCGACTGGAGCTTGGAGCCATGCTGCACTGGCCCCACCCTCTCAGCCAGCAGCATCCACAGAGATGATCCTCTTGGGGGCTGCCTAGGGGTAGTCAATCCCTTACCCTGGCCACTTTCTATTCACCATATCACCAAAGAACTCCTAGTTCCATGAAAGGCTCTAGATACATTTTTTGGACCCAAAGTTGGTGCCGCTGGAGGGCTGAGTACATCCCAGAGAGAAGGGCAGAAATACCAGGTCCACATTACGACCACGGTCTGGAGTTGATTTCTCACTGGACGCTCAACAGAGAGTGACTCTGCCCTCCAGGGGCTCAAGAACCAACGGTGGAGGGCATCAGACGCACTTGTTTTCAACCCGCCCTGAGGAAACTTGTCTGGACCCTATCTGTGACCTTGACACATTTGTTATATTTGGTCAATGGACCAAATATCCTGTGACTTGGCCACTTTTGCGTCATTCCCCTGGACGAAGCCTATGGCCTCAGGAGCCCACCCACTGCAAGGGCATCTCTTCCTCAGAGGGCTGTCAGTGGAGGGCGCTTCAGGGCAGCCAGCTAGTTCTGGAGGCTCAGCTGGGGCAGGGGAAGGAGGGCCCGGATGGATGCGCTCCCCATCGGTACACCTGGCTGTCTCAGAGAACACAGCGTGATTCACTGAGCATGTACACACGTTATCTTATTTAGGAGAACCCTTGGACGGAGCCACCTGTCATGGCTGAACAGTGTCCTCCCACCAAAAAACCCTCCTGGATTGAAGCCCTAACCCCCAGGACCTCAGAATGTGACTGCATTTGGAAACAGGACCGTTAAGGTAAAGTGAGGTCATTGGGGTGGGCCCTAATCCAACCTGACCAGCGTCCTTATAAGAAGAGATCTGGACACAGACACACACAAGGGATGCGCTCACACAGAAAAAAGACCACATGAGGACATAACAAGAAGGCAGCCATCAGCACGCCAAGGAGAGAGGTGTCAGTAGACACCAGCCCTGCCGACACCTTGATCTCAGACTTCCCACCTCCGGAACTGTGAGAAAATGAAATTTCTGTAGTTCTAGCCCCCAGCCTGTGGTCTTTTGTTACAGCAGCCCTAGTGAACTAATACAGTGCTCTAATCCGATTTTTTAGATGGAGAAACTTGATACTTTTCAACAATCACACATCTTCCAGAAGAAGAATCAGAATTCAAACTCAGAGCCTGACTCCAGTGAACCTGAAAGGAACCACTGTACAGACGGACCCTCCAGATGTGGCTTTCCTAGGCGCTGGGTGAGGGGAGAGAAAAGAAAGTCTGAGGGTGAAGGATTTGAATCTTTTGCCAAGAGCGGACTGGAAAGGTGGTAGCCGTGGGTACCTGAGAGAGGCCCTCC